TGTTAAAAACTTCTGTGGTTTTTTTTTTTTTTTTTTTTTAATTAAACAGTAAATAAAGAAAATAAGCCTGTTGAGCAAGGTTGTGCACTTACCACAAGGTTGCCTGGGCAAGGAGGAGAATTTATGAGAATGAAAAATTAGGTTTAGGACAGGAAACAGAAACTAGGCAGGGGAAAAGTGGGAGGGTGATGTGTAAGTTTAGGTAGTGGTACAGAGGGCAGATAACCAGCTTGCAAAGCAAAAGGCCACTGGGTAGGGGGAGTTACCAAAAAATGTATTTGTACTTGAACCACAGCCCTGCTCTTCCCCCTGGAGCCTGTGCTAGATCAACTGCGATAGTGAAATGGCAGTTTATAAAAGACTCGGTCAATAAAGGACTGATTAGAAAAGACAAATATATAACAGAAGTATTAGACATTCAGTAAATTCCTTTGCAACAGATCTGTAAAGCACAGCTAAATATAGCAAGTTATTTTTAGACGTTCATGCTAGCTATTTACTGCTGGCAAGTGGAAAACCCGTGTCAGTGTGTGAAAAATGGCCTTTGTAAAAAGTGTCAGTATTTCTGAATCCCCACAGCATCCAGAAAGCCTTCAGGGGCACGCGCGAACAACTTGCCGTGGGTTAATGCAGAGCACTGTACGCTGTACTGGGCCATTTTTTAGTTACCTAATGGTAAGCTTCTCTCGTTTATGGAGTAACAAGGAGTGCTGTTTTCCTCGCAAGATGCTTATGTAGATTTGGGACTACCTAGAAGACTGACCGGAAGATTATTTTTTTCCCCTCATTGGAAAAAATCAACATGTTTTTGTGTTCAAGCAGCTGTAGAGTATTTAGGAGTGTTCTGTGAGTCAGGACTCATTACTCACGTTGCTAATGGCACATCTGTGCTCAGTTGGGGTAACTTCATTGATTCAGAGTTGAGGTATTTTGGTGGGACAATGTTTGGGGACTTCATGCAATTAGTACACGCTGTGTAAATACAACAGCTCGGAGCAGAATCCAGCCCCTTGGCCAAACACTTTGTGTGTTGGCTCGTAAAACTTTGCTGCAAGTACAGAGAATCCCCTGGAAGCGGTGGGTTGGGCACCACGTCCAGAACCTCATCTCTGGGGTGGCAGCGTGGATGAACTCCGTCTCCTTCATGATGCAACTCCCTGGGAAATTCTTCAGTGGGAGTCGGTAACAATGGGCACATTCTTTTCCCTTCAGGGATCACAGCCCTCTCTTTTGCATGCTGGAGGAAAAATGGTATTTCTCATGTTCTGCATGTCCTGTTGCTCAGCTCTCCACAAGGAAGTAGAAAACATTCCATAGTGACCAAGTGTTGGGAAGAAATTTAGGTGCATCCTCAGCTGCTGTGCATCAGGGTCTTGCAACATTCCCCTGAAAAACTGGATTTCCAGAGTTCAGTTCCTAACCCTAAAATTTGTCCTTGGCTTAAAATGCTCTTATTTAAGTACAGAATGAACTTTTATTGTCTTTGTTTGCTTATTTGAAAGAAAAAAAAAAGCGTGTGGCTGGTTTTGATATTTCTGTTTTCAAGTTGGAGAAAAGGAAAGCAAAATGTAAAAATGGAGCTCCTCCTTACATTTGATCCATTTATTTGCATTGCCATAGCTCAAAATCGTTTTGGGTTTTCCTTACGGATTGTTGAAGCTGTCGGTAAGTTGCTCCGTGCAGAACACCTCCGCGCAGCGGTCTGTCGGACACAGAAGCTTGGGAGCGGCTTGTTCCCCCATGGTAGTCTCTGCTGGCTGCTCTTCCCCTAAGTGCCTGTGTCTCAGCGCAGGCGGGGAGGCCAGTTAAAGTTGCTTCTCGCCTTCCAATGTGGGTAGAGTCCTCCTGTCCCCGGGAAGGGGACAAGACGGGGACGCTGTAGCCCCATCTCGGTTCAGCTGTCCATGCCTCACTGTATCTACCCTCGGTTGGAGTCAAGTTAAATTAAGGACTGCATTTGCTCTAGAAATGTCACTGGCCGATGATTGCTATGGTGATGAGGTGTGTGGGGGGGGATTTGTTGGTTTTGGGGTTTTTTTCCCTCCTTAATTTGCAGTGTGATATTCAGGGAGCAGTGCGGGACTGAGGATTAGCCAAAGACCTGCTGAACCCACTGCCCGTTCAGCCCCTGAGATCCTGGAGGAGTGGCGATTCTCACCCGGCTGTTTCCTAGGGAGAAGTAGAGGTAGTCCTGGCTTTACCAACTGCTGCACAGCTAACGAATGTGAAATAATTGGGTCAGCGAGGGGATATTTAGGTATGAATAACCTGTGTGAGGGTACTGGTGGTCTGGTCCTGGCAGATGTGAAGTGTATGCTCTGCGACTGCTCTTTTACACAGTAGGAGGTTTTTTGTTGTTTTTTAAAATGTTTATTTCTAAAAATCTTGCTACTTTCTCCGTGTCTCTGTTACACCCGATGTCATGTTGTGTCCCTGTGGTGTTGGATGAGGCAGTCCGAGCACGGCCCTCCTTTCCTGGTGCACAGGCATCCTGGTGGTCCCTGTAGCTGTCGCCAGCGGGTTGTCACTGGCACTTCTGTTTCCATGTACTCAGGGACGTGGTTTCCTCTCTTGGCAAGAGAGGACCATTGCAATCACACAGACAGAAACTTAGATAAGTGCGACCCTTCTCTGCAGAGCGCAAAGCTAATTAAAGATGTGCATCTGTGACATCTCGAGCATTGCGGACCCTCGAGCAGGACCTCCGTGCCCTGTTCTGCAGCTGCAGCTGCTCGTCCCCGTGGCAGCGTGAGGTGGTGCACGGGGCTGCATCCCCCCGCGGGGTCTGTCCTGCGGCGATGGTTTCCTTCTATTTTAAATTCTAAGCACTGGGGGGGGAAAAGCATAACCACAACCTGTTTTAGGGCTCCTGGTTGTAATCCGTGCTTTTTCAGAGGCCCACGGCTTTTGCAAAGATAGCACATTTTTTTTGTTTGTAGTCTTCGGTTACCTATGGTTGCTGTGAAAGGTTGAAATGAGAATCCCCACTAGGTCTTTGCTGAGCAGGCTGTGGGGCACGTCCTTCAATAGCTGCAATCTCTGGAGGTGTGTTTATGTGTACATAAACACAACCAGAAAGTTCCTTGTGTACCTCCTAAGACTAGTGCGGCTGTAGCTGGTACTCCTTCCCTCCCTCCTGCCAGGCGCAGCTTGGCCGGGGTTATTCTGTGCAGAGAGATGGGACTTTATTTTTACTAGAAGAGTAAATTATTGTGACCACAAATTGTGAAAGCTGGCATCGCTTACTGAACGCTGTAAGGAAGAAGAGTCCTGGAGGATTCCTGACCGAATTCATTTTGGTGCATTTCCACGGAAACGGGCTGAGCTGTACCAAGAGCAGGCAGGGTCCTTCGGGGCTGTCAGGCGGTGGTGAGGCTTTGCATGCTGTTTGCAGTGATATCCCTGGCTTGGAAGCACAGCGTTATTCCTTCAGCAACGGTCTGGCTCTCTGCACGTGTTCCTGGTGCTGCACGAGCAGGGCAGACCCTGCAGCCGCCTCTCTCCAGCCCACACCCTCTCCCTGCTGCCAGGCTTTGGGTGTGCAAAGCAGGGGGCATTTGACAGCTGCGTGTTTGTATCAGGGGGGAAAATACTTCCGAGTGTCTGTTAAAATGAGGGAGAACATGGGCTTCTCTCTCCCAGCATGGAGATGTAGCCCCGTTTTTCCACGCAGCTGATCTCTCCCTGCCCAGCTCCAGCTGCTGACCGCAGTGGCCCCTTCCTGCTGTCGAGCCGCTTTCCTGTGGCCGTGGTTCATCCCTTTCTCCCCGGCCCCCCCGCCTTGCCTCGGCCCCTGGTGTCATCATGCCACCGTTCGGGTGCCACCGAGGGAAGGGGCGACTTCCCGCCAAGCGTCTCTGGGTGAGGGTGCTCTGCATCGGGCCCTGGTGCTGTCCTGGCTGCTGGACCCCACAGGGACACAGCCCCCTGGGCGTGAGCACCTTCTGTTCCCTCGGTGGCAGTGGTGCCAGCAGGCACTGCTGCAGCGGGGTCAGCTGCCAGTCATCCCTGTGTTAATTACCCAGTAAACACCCCATCGCTATAACAACACCCATAATACATAGCACCATAGCAGTACCCGATGCCGTCCGTCCTGCGTGTATATATAGGGTTTGTCAGAAGCTGGTGTTCAGCCAAGGCTCTGTACGTGTACGAGGACGAGTCATGTTGGTCCGTAGAAGTCTGGTTTCCATTAAATGTTCCTCAGGAGCCATGCCAGGCGTTCACAGCACTAGCTCTCCCTCTGGCTTGTCCACTCCTTTCCCAACCCTAAATCTTCCACAGTTGTTGTTCTATGGTGGGGTCTGTGCACGGTGCCAGGCGGCTGCCCCGGCCACCCCAGGGATGTCCTTGGGGGCTGTCACCTCGGCGTGGGACAGCGGGGATGGCTGTCCGCCTTCAGCCACCATTAGCTCCGGGCAGTGGGGAGGCACGTTGGGGTGAATGCACACCCGACTTTGCTGAAGGTGAGGATGAGGATGGCTCCCCAAAATGAAAAAAATTCCTTGTCCCAAGTGAAACCAAACGGTGCTGCACTAATTAAGGGGCAATCGGGGTTTTTTTCACTGTTAAGCTAATGTGAGATGTGGTTTATAGCACGTGTACCTGGACTTCCTTCAGCTAGAAAACTGGCAAATAAACTTTCAGGCCAGACAACGTTTTGAAAGGAAAATGTAACTGAAATCAGCTATACTGTTTCTTTTTTTCTGGTTAAAATATATTGTGTTTGGCTTTTTCATACCCTTCTCTGCTATTGCCCTATCCCCTGTTTCTATAAAAACCAAAAAGGCAGGCAGCTCGCCAAGGACCGTTTCTCCGATGCTGGGGCTAAACGCTGTGCTGACACATGCGATGGAAAAACGGTGCATGCAAATCCTCCGTCCCCACAGGCGCTGTGAGTGGGATTTGGATGTGCAGCCGTGCTCCTGGCTCACGGGGACGCACGCAGCCGGAGCTGGCCGGTGCCTCATCGCCCGCACCCCGGCCAGCGCATGTGGAGGGGGTCAGGCGGATGCCGGCCGGGGGTGCGGGAGGGTGGGATGCGATGAGCCTCCTTGGGTGCCACCACTGGCTTTCGGAGTGGCTGCTCAGGGACCTGGCGCTGGGTGGGGATGGGTGTTCAAATGGAGCGATTGAAGTTCACCTGCTAATAAGTGTAGTCGAGGAGCGAGGAGGGGCTGGGCGGGGGCCATCAGCAGCGTCCAGGGAAGACGACGAGGGTTTGCAGGGGGACGAACAAAGATTCCCCTGAGCAACAACTGAATGAGAGCCTCCAGCCCCGGCCTGAAGCGAATGCTGCGGGGACTGAGAGAGAATTATTTGCTGAGGTTTTCCATCAAATCAATGACATCATTCTGTGCTGGAGTTCACCCATTTACACGCTCTCAGCCCCCCGGCAGCTGTGCTTAAATAGTGACATTCAGGCCTGAATCTGCCCATTCAGGAGCAAAGGTTTGACCCGTCAGAGGAAACTGCTGAACGAAGCTTTTGAGGGGAAAGCGGGGACTTGTGTGCGCTTCAAGGCCACGTTCCTCCCCGCGCCGGGGACCTGGCTGTCCCTGCGAGCTGCAG